GCACAGCACCGCGTCCAGGCGGGGCTGGAATATCTCCAGAGAAGGAGACTCCACAGCCTCCCTGGGCAGCCTGGGCCAGGGCTCCGTCACCCTCAGAGGGAAGAAGTTCTTCCTCATCTTCAGCTGGAACTTCCTCTGCTTCAGTTTGTGCCCGTTGCCCCTTGTCCTGTCGCTGGGCACCACTGAGAAGAGTCTGGCCCCATCCTCGTGACACCCATCCTTAAGCCTGCCAGCTGCAAGGAACAACATCTCAGGGCAAGAGGCAGGGGAAATGCAGAAATTTGTACACTCAGAACAAACTATGAACCATATAAGGAAGAAACCAAGAAAGAATCGACCTTGCCTCTCATGGTCACATGTAGCTTCTGGAGGCATTTGAGAGGATGGAGAGTGAATGACACAGGAAATGCACCTTTTTGGAGGAAAAAAGGAAAAAAAAAAATAAGATGCATGCCCAAAAAGGTCCTGTTCAAGTGCGAGCAAGTCATTTACCCTCTCTTTAACTCAGTTTCCTGCCTGAAAAACAGAGATAACAGCACTGCAAATACCGCACGCTGCGCAGATAAGTGCCGCAGCCGACGGGGTCTGCAGGCAGGGTGATAAGATGGGCTGTGTCGATACCCCAGATGGAGAGATACCTTAAAACACCCTGACTCATCTTCTCCTGCAGCAATTTGCAACGCAACCAGTATCTGTCACATTGTAAGCCAGCCAATATATTATTACCGTTTACTGTATTTATTAATGTTCTTTTTACTGGAAACAGAGAAGGAGAGAGGAGGGGCAAGCTCATCTATTAAAACAAATTATTTAATGGGCAATGCCATAAATAAGAAGCCTAGCTGCAGATCTCATGTGTCACGTTTGACTGACAGTGCCCAAGACCGTGAGCTCCCATGAATATTTCTCTGTCCTCACCACAGCGGCTGCAGCTACAGGTCCCCGTTAGCTCAGATGCTGATTAGGAAGAAGGACAGCACTGCTTCTTTGCTCAGGGAGGGGTTTTGGTAGGGTTTCCCTTTTTATACCCACCTATTTATTTTCACCAACTCGCAGGTACTTAATTATCTCTGAGCTGTCTATTCTGCTGTCAGATTTGGCTTAAATCAGCTACAGGGTCAAAAAATACCAGGGGGTGTGGGGGACCGCCAGCTGACAGGCGCTGGCAGCCTGATCATGTGTGACTTGTTTTCATAAGCAATAAAGCTGAAAAAAAGCCACAAAAGAAACTCAAATCAATGCAGTGCCCACAGAGAAATCAGGTGGGGGGGAAAGGGGGAGAACTAGAGAATTGAGGAGTAAAAAAATCAAAGCTTTTCTTCCCTTACGACCACCCAAGATGCAGGGAGGCCCCTGGACCAGGGACCAGGCAGCTAACCCTGCTGTGGAGGGGGGCCCGGCAAGTCTATATCATGGAATTATAGAATCACTTAGGCTGGAGAAGACCCTTAAGACTTCGAGTCCAACCATAAACCAAACACTGCCAAGTCCACCACTAAACCATGTCCCTAAGCACCACATCTACGCATCTTTTAAACTCCTCCAGGGATGGTGAAAGGAAAGGATGGTGACTCAGCCACTTCCCCGGGCAGCCTGCTCCAATGCTTGATAACCCTCTTGGGGAATAAATTTTTCCTAATATCCAAACTTAACCTCCCCCGGTGCAACTTGAGGCCATTCCTCTTTGTCCTCTCACTTGTTACTAGAAGGAAGGATGCCTGAGCAAGGCAAAGATGAGGGAGCAAAGGTGGGTGAACGGATATGCAAGCCAAAGTGCACGAGCAGAGGTGCAAGAGTGCGTGAGCACATGTGCACCACCAAGGGTGTCCCAGCAAGGGTGCTGCCGGGGGGTGAGCAGCGAGGGGTGCCAGCCCAGCAAGCAGAAGAGCCGAGCGGGTGAGCAGGGTGCTGCCAGCTGTGCCGGGATGCCGCCAGCTGTGCCGGGGTGCCGCCAGCTGTGCCAG